TCAGCATCTGTTTCTATGTTGTTCTTCTATATATTGGATATCAGTTCAATAGGAATATTTTAAAAATGATTGATTAATGTCTGAGCCAGGATTCCCCCCTGAACTCCTAAAAGAACATTTGACAGTCGTACTGCTAATTGCACGATAAGGCTAATATATAAGGCGAGATGGTGCTCAGATCCGATGGCAATTTTTTCATGGTAATTTTACTGAGAGAGTGAGACAGAAGAGCAGGAGGAGTTTTTGGAGAGAAGGGTTTTGTGGGTAGTGTGCGGCCCCCCCCCCAGCCTTGGAGCAGATCCTTTGTTGTTCAGTGGGACCCTTCATATTCCCCAAGTTAAGGAATAAGTGCTGTAACGAAGAGCCTGTCAGTTAGCTGTGGAGCGAGAAGCTGGAGGCTGTTTCTCTTCTGGGAAATCAGCCCATATAATCCTTTAAAGTCAGCAGAGGCAGTCTGGCAGCGGTGGAACGTAACCAGCCTTTGGCCTGCCGTCTGGGCCCGGCGTTTCCCCGTGTGCCATCGAGACGGGGGGTCGGAAGGGATTTGAGTTTGCACCGGGGCTGCTATTCTAACTGGCGCTCGAGAGTTGAGGGTAGTTATTTTATTAATGGTAGGTGTTATTTTTGTCCTCAGCACCCCAGTAGCACGCCTGAGATTTTTTTTTGTGTTTTTTGTTTTTTTTGTTTTTTAGCTGTGTGGTTTTGCACTTTTTTTAGGTTCTTTAAGTGTTCCCTCTGTATGAAAGGTATTTATAACCCTAACCTCCCCCTACATGCTCTCTGAAATCTCAGAGCTGTGTAAACTCAGAGGATTAAGTTTGAGCTGAACTGGGCAAACACGCAGCGGTAACTTCAGCCAGCCGATAGCAGTGGATGTGACCCTGCACCAGGATCCTTTAGGGCTGACTTATTTCCTGATCAAACAGCGTGGAGTTTGTTGTGCAGAAGGTGCCTGGTGTGACGTTTTAGGTGTACGAATGGGGTAAGAACGATCTCATTGCAAAGCTGAGGGCTGTGGACTTGCATTATTCATAGCATTACTTGTAAGCGGTGCTGTGCATCCTGAGCACCTTTGGAGATTGCAGCTGTGGTACTGGTGGCAGGAAGAAAAGCAGCTTTGCAGGAAAGAATGTGCCAGATAATTAACGTGCAGCTAGCTATGCTGCAAGCGGAGGTGCAGTTGCATAACTTCGGCTAGCTTGGGCAAAAGTAGTAATGAAAAAGCCTTCACTAAGATTTTATCATGGACTCTAAAAATCTGCTGTAGAATTTAGGTTACGTACTTGGGTTGCCAGCCCAGGCTGGAGTCTGTCAGCATGTCAGCAGCTCTTGGTATGCAAGTTATTTCAGGTAAAATTGGAGCAGGTATATCTACCTGTGCAGCAATTACGTTTTCAACTGATATGTATATGGTCTTTGATATTTATACATCCGAATAAGCAAATGGGTGATAGAATCTGAATATTTCATTTAGTAACTGCCAGGAAAGAGGCTCTAAAAAAAAAAAAAAAAAAAAGGCCAGATTTTTCTTTATCTGTAACCGAGGAGCAGCCCATGAGAACCATCTGCACTCAGTCTGCAGCCCGGCCAGAACAGGGACTGCAGATGGAGAGGCTGGAGCCTGCCCTGGGAGGTGTGAGAAGGATTTTGAAGTGAGGACAGGTAGGAGACACGTCTGGAAGCTGTAGGGAGCGATAGTTTTGGTTGCATGTTCTGGAACAAAATTTGGCAGTCTATGGACTGGGAACTGAGAAAAGAGAACGAGCCTGGATCTACGAACAGCTGGGGCTTTTGTCTCCCAGACTGGGCAGAAACCCCAGGGCTGGATATAGGGTCCTTCCAGCTTTGTGGCCTGACTTCAGGCATTGTCTTTGTGTCCTAGGTTTTACATGTCCTAGGTTTTACATGATATGCGAGTGGCAAAAGTAACTGCTGGCCTGGACTTGTCCGGGAGGAAGGCTCCAGTGGAGCTGTTTGTCAGAAAGCCAGTATCACCTGCAGGTGGGAATTTCAGGACTGAAGTCCGGGTAGATCACTAAATGCTCTCCACGGCCGTGATGTACTGAATGTTCTGTATGCGCTTAAATTTTCCAGCAATTGCCTGCACACAAGCACAGATGCACATCCAAAAATAGTAAGCTGTTGTTCTAAGTGAGGTCCCCAACTTAGAGGTCATAAACTTTAGTAAAAGAGCAATCACTGCAAGGCTCTTTTTGTAGAGTAAATAAAAAGGGAACAAAGGAGGCAGGAGCAGAAGCCCCATTAGCCCCCACCTGCTCTCTGCCTGAGGCTGCAAAGAGGTCTGCCTTTAGCAGCCTAGAAAGCAGTCGGGCTGTCACCCGCTGTCAGCAAGTAGAAGCCGAGGTCATTGTCCTGCGATCCCAGCAAGGGTGAAGTCCTGCGAGCTGCCGCCTCTGCTGAAGCGGAGGGAACAGGACCAAGAAAGAGCTTTTCTTGTGACAGGACTGAGAAAGCTGGTCCTCCCGACCGGCGCTGCAGATGCCTCCCGCAGCGGCCGCCCTGCCGCAGGCCAGCAGCCGCCTCAGCTACCTGCCTGGGGGGTCTTAATTCACGGCTGTTTGGAAAGCGCTCGAGGTTCTTGGACGCAAGTGGCACTATGAGTGAACGCGTTATTTCCTTGGCTTGGATCCAGTTATGACTGTAGTCCTTGAATTAACTTCAGTGATGAGATAAACCTTGCATCCCCAAACAAAATGGGAATAAAAAATTAATTTCTAAGGAGGGAGTTTTGTATGATTCGGTTGGGGGAAGAATACAGCTTTCTCGACTGATTGTGTGGGACAGTGAATCTTACAAAAGCTGCAGTGACTGTGCTCTGGGTGCTGAGGGAAGACTTTCCCTAACGCACGAACAGAGCCAGTTTGAATTAGAACCCAACCTGTTGTTTTCTGCCTTTAATATTTACTTTTAAAGATACCTTTAAAGGCTGAGCCAGCGGCGGTGTTATATGCTGGAGCTTCCAGGTGGTGGTATCGCTGTGCCACTGCCTGCTTTCTCCATCACCAGGGGTCCGTGGTAGAGGCAGCATCTTCCATGTGTCTGCCATCACGCTGCAGCTGCATCTGGCTTTATGAAGAAATGCACGTTTATGGTGACTTGTTTTAATCTTTTGCTGAGTATCTGTTAGCAGATGTCGTTTCCATTGCACTACTTTCTGATTAGTTACTAGAGCTTAGCATTTTGATGCTATCTGTCTCGGCAACTTCACTGTAAATAGGACAATGTGACCTTTTCTAAGTGTCATCTCAAACCGCTGCTTTAGAGCATTATCTTAAAACTAAAAACCAAAGCAAGCAACTAAACACTAATTGGTGCTCCTCATTTTATCATTCACAGAGAATAATGCCAGACAATCATTTTCTTTGCTCTTTCACTAATTATGGATTTGGCAAGCTGAACTATATTCTGTTTTGCTCTGTGCCTCTGAGACAGTGCTACTTATTTTAATTTGGGGGTGGGGGAGGAGGTTGCATCTTTGGGGATTTTTTGCAACCTGCTCTATATATGTGTACTTTAACAGGAGTTTGCCAGCCGCAGATAACCCTGTGCAAGTTGTGTGGGGATCGTCTGGGTGCTGGATCATTGTCTTTTGGCCTAGGATGGAATAGGAAACGATTGTATTTCTTTTATCACCGTGTTTCAACTTCCAGTGTCTGTGCCGCCCTGAAATGTCAGTGCATCGTCTTGTTTCCCAAGGAAAGGTAACTCTAAGCAGTGAGTGATTTGAAGGGAAATCAGCACGCTGCACTCCCGAGGCAGTCAATTCACTAATTAAAAGAGCGGGGGAGGAAGTAATCTAGAGCAATCAGCAGGGCATTTCATCTCAATTCCGAACTTTCTTTTTTTGTTGGACTTTCGGTTGTGAGAGACTAGAGAGCTAATGGTTTCGTAAGCTCTTTTGCAGTAGTGAAGGTGTGCGTGCGTGTGTGTGTGTTAACGTTGACTGAGTTGCGTTGCGAGCTTTAGTCGCATCAGGTAGGAATAATGATGATCTGATTGTTCAAGTCAGAAGGGGTGTACTAGGCATTTAAAAACACTTCTCTGGCTGAAGTTGGCAAGTTCTGTCATGATTAGCAGTGCTTTTAAGGTATCTCCTAATCTGATTCAGTTACTTCAAATGAAAAAGTAATAAGGATGGAGAATCTGCACATCCTTCCAGAAAGAATTCAGTGTTGACCCTCGAGCAGTTAACAAAAGATATGGGGAAGAATTTAACTGGTTGCAGTGAGCTAATATCTTAGTGGTTTGGTATATTATTTCTTGTCTGTGTGGTGTGTGTACGGGGAAAGGTTGGTATATTTGCACCAAGAGTTGAGCCTTCAGTTCTTTAAGATGCCAGTAATAGTAATTCCCTTCTCTCATCTCCCCACCTATGTTAATCATTATCATGTGACATACCAGCTTTTCTGTCGTGTTTAGGTCATATGTTACAGCCTTGATTGAGGGAAGGCATTTATCATTTAGAAGTATTCAACCTCTGTTGTGTGTTTAGATATCACTGGTATTAGCTAGCTTATCGAGTGCACGCTAGCCTTTACAAGTGTATTTCTCCATCCGATTGCTATTGTGAACTAAACTGTCAAGCGTAAGGAGGGGGGTCTGATATGTTACTTTCTAAGATGGAACCACAAGAAAATAAAACAGCTGTTTTGGGTGAGCAGAGTTAAGGTTTTCCTTCAGGACGGTGATTTGTTCAGGTGCTGTTGACGTATGGCTCCGGAATTAATCTGAGGCAAACTCATTTTCATAACCAGTTCCAGCATCTCTGGAATTAATCAAACACGTAGCCTGGAGAGTGTTCATCGTAATCTAATCTAAAATTACTGTTTGCATTGTGCATGCCTAATTATTTATCTTGGGTTCTCTCTGGAAAGAACATGCTGTTTTGTTTGTGTTTTTATTCAACATTTATATTGTTTAATGCTTAAAAGTGGTTGCAAATAACGTAAAGAATTTACAATTTGCTTCCTCCTTTACAGAAGGACATGTCACTAAAGCCTCAGGAGCGGAAGGAGAAATGGGAGAGGCATCCAGGAAAGAAACCTCGAGAATCTGAAAACTGTGTGTCTGCTGAGCCAAGTGAAAATGGCCATAATAACGATGCTGGGAGCTCTGAGAGAGAGGCAGATCGAGGCAAAGAACGGGTGAAGAAGAAACTCCCTTTGAAGCTGTCCAAACAGGTAGGACAATTATTTTTCACTGGAAGTGACTGCATTGTAGCATTGGCCACTGTAAAATGTTGTCCTGCTGGTAGATCGGGCTTGTTAATGTAACTGGCTTTTCTAGAAATTTGTGCTGGAGAAGACTGTCTTTTGCATGAATTCTAGCCAAATGGGGAAAGTCTTTATTGCAGGCAAGTTTTTATAAGTTAAAATGAAAGAGGAGGTATGCTGAGTCATGTAGAAAGATTTAGGAAGGATCAGACCTCCCTTGAATCCTGCAACTTTGAGAGAGTGCAGTAATTCATACAACGTATTTATGGCTCCTACTGTCTTAGGCACAAATAGAAATCCTCAATCAGATCATAGCCTTCTTCAGGGAAGACCTGATTGTTAATGTGCACTTGAAAGTTGCGAATGTGAGTGTGTCCATCTCACGAATCAAGTTCATGGGCCCCCCAAAACAGTATACGGGGAAGGAGGAGAACGCTCAAGAATTTTATAAGAGGAAAGTCAGTTTGGAGGAAGTTGCAGTTTAGGGGGGTTCCCGTTGCACTTCTGAAATGTGGTAGAGCCTTAATAAATGAGAAATTGTGATGCTGAGGGGACAATTCCAGAGGCTCCCACCTGAACCACGATGTGTGTACAGAGCCAGGGAGGTGACAGAGGAGAAGCACTCTGGGCTGGCAGGCTATTTATCACTTACTGCTACTCAGCAGGGAGATTTGTTGGTGACTCAGTGCTCATTCATCAGTTTGAAGTCCACATGGCACAGCAGCATCTATCTATGAACAAACACTTTCCCAATTGTCTGTTAACATGGTGCCAAATGGCAGCCAGTGGGAAGACTGGGCTACTTGACCCTTTTGCGTTTGTTCTGAGCTTAACTTTTTAATTCTGCATGGTGCAGAAAAGAGCTGATTTAACCAGAGCTTATCTCCTGGACTGTGGAAATGGTTCTGTATGTGTTCTAGACGAGAAAAGATTGAAATTGCCCGTTACTGGTGTTTTTTCATAGACTTTGAAAGGATTGTTAAGGTAATCTGGTGCAACCCCCTGCATAACTTCTCTACCATGTGCAACCTTTTGTGACTGAATTGTAAGATTTTTGTTCAAAAGGTCTCATCGTATTGTACATTAGAAATTCTAATGGCCTCTGTCTTCCAGCAGCTAATTGTTCTTCTCGTTAATGAATCAGCTAACTTTTGTTTTCTTCATTTTTGATTAAAAAATACTATGGGAATAATTCACTCCAAATAACTTATGTGAGGATGTTACTGCTTGCAGACATTTAGGTGGCCCATTATATAGTCATACATGTCTAGTAGGACATCTGCCGGGTTTTTTTTTTTTCTTCTAACTCCCCAAAGTGATACTGAGTGGTTTGTTTTTACAATTGTCAGTATATATACTTAAAATGTATCAAGTTTCTTGTTTGTTTTTGCTAATAGTCAAGTGATAGGGCTTCGCTTCCCCCTTTTGGATACAGGTACAATAGGTTTGTGTATGAATATTCAGTTTGTGCAAATTAAGGTGACTTCTTTTTATGGGTAAATAAATGCACGTTGTGTATTTGAATTTTGATTTCAGTGAAAGCTTGGGCAACTAGAGCCTTCTTACTTGCGTTTAAAAAACACAAACCGCTAAGCATCTATGTTACTAGAAGGCCTTGGCTTTGATATAAGATGTTTAGGAGCAATAGTGGCTAATGGCAACCCTGCTTGCTTTTTATCCCAGGATTGTGTCGCTCTCTGCTTCACTAGGTGCTCTGGCCTCTTTGTAAAGATGTTGGGATTTTATTTTTTATTCACGTGGAAAAACCCAAAACACCAACCCAATAACACTTGCAAAGTACGTATAATGCTGGCTCGGTTTCCAGCCCTGGTTCCCAGAGTGACCCTGCAGAGGCTCGTGCTGAAGCAGCAGACGGTAGTGCAGCGTGAGCGTGAGAATGAGGAGCTCCACAGGAGGCCGTTAGACCTCTCTTGCCACCAACATCTCTGTGGCAGGAAAGCTGGGTTTCAGCAAATACCGTCTTTGCAAGAGTTAGAGAGTTGTTCCATCCAGTCTAAACTCAGTAAGTTTAAACTTCAGCTGCAGCAAGTTCAGCGCTTTTCCAGGTATTTGCATCACTGTAGTGGTGCTGTGTGGCCGAGGTCTGCCAGGCAGCACAGGAGGGCAGTCCTGCAGGAAGCCAGGCTGCTGAGGTCTCCTCTCTGGAGCTCCTGGTGCACCTGTTCCTCAGCCTGCTCGGGAGGAGGAAAGTGCTGTTAATGTTGACATCTTCTACATGAACATAAAACTTAATTTTCAAATATTTGTGGCTGCTAAGGAATTCATGACACTTCTTTATGAACTTTTGAGGCGAGAGTTTTTGGTATGCTGGCCAAATTCCAGTTTTTGTAATTATATTCTGCTGCCTCAGTTTACCAAATGCCTAGATTCTTTAGATTTCACTTCTGAAAAATGAGGATGTTGTTATATGTTTCTTCTGGCTAGTGTTTGGCTGCCATCAGTGATTAAACAGAATATTTGCACGTTCCCTAAACCCTGAATTCATCTTTCTTTCATCTATTCTTTTTTCCCCTGGAAAAAGTAGTAACAAATTTTAAAAAGAGTGAGGTGTATAAAAACGTATTAAAAAAAAGTGAGGAGGTGCCCAAAGAGTATGCAATAAAATCTATGATGAGTGACTCATTAAAACACTGTGCCTCTTCAAACAAGTCACACTTAGAATTCATCTTTTATTGAAAAGGTAGATTTTTTTTTTAATACTTTGCATTATCCTAGCTGATATAGTTGTGAAACCAGACGAGTTTCAGGCCTTGTAAGGTCAATGAAGTGGCAGCAAAATCCAAGTTAGATAAAGTAGATTAGTCTTAGTTCAAAGTAATTATGCTAACGATATAGACAACTTTAATTTTTCCATTTTTTTTTTTTGAATAACCACAAAGTTCACACCTGGAATCTTGGCATTTGCTGCCAAGCTGTCTAGAAAAATTGGTTGTGATATTAAGTTTCCTGGAATTTTAGGGATGATTTTTGCATCTGAGGGTTGTTAAGCATAGGTTTACACCTAATTTGGAAATCTTATTATAATTAATGCTAACTATATTGAGATATTACTTAGAAATTACTGATCGATTTGAAGCCTTTCTTATACTCTCATTGCTTCTCTTCACCATGCTACTGAATTGTCATCTTTTCTGTGCAGCCTCCTCTAATAAATCAAATTGGGCATTATAATTATGGCATTCTGCTAATCCTTGTAGAGAGGTGCAAAGTGGTAAGCTGATTTGAGTGCCAGGTTGTCTGCTTTGTTTAGAAAATTAGATTAATGCTTCACTCCATTTGACAAAACATCCAGATTCCTATTGGCTCCTGATTATTTGGTTCTTCTGTACCTCAGGGCCATGCAAGAGAGTTGCCGGAGCTAATCTGGCCTTTCCAGCCTATTACTCGTGACTGTGTACAAAAATCATTTAAATCATTTGCTTCCAGCTGTAGCCAAGGAGAGACACCAAAGGGTATTTGGAATAGTTATACATCCTTTGGCCAAAGGTTTTTCGGGACTTGGGTCTGTCCTTAATGCACGGGCATAGGAACTGGTGCTGACTTGAAACTGCTTCTGTCTGGTAGGAAGCAACAAAACCGTTCACAGACGTCATGTGTATGTCAAGGAACGAGAAAGTGTTATGAGAGCATACAGTGGCATCCACCCCAGGAGCGTTTGATGGGAAGTGAGTCATTGCCAACTTGACCCTGCTGGGCGGTCAAGAATCCCCGCAGTGCTTACAGGCAGCGCCTGCTGGGAGGGACGGATTAAGCCATGGAGCTCATCACGCCTTCAAAGGTTTCCTGTATGGTCGGGTGTATAATTCAGTTAGATGACATAAGAGGTAGATGTTGAGATGAGGACCTCTTAGTTCCAGTTATACTTCTTTGTATTGCCCTGGGTAATTCTTTTCCTAGACTTTAGAGAGCCCCTTGTTTGAACTTCAAGTCTGTCTTTCGTTAATTGTCCCTTAGCTGAGCTGTCGTGTGCTTTTTGTTTCAGAGTTCATTTTCTGAGTTGCTGATTGCTCTCTAATCATCTGTGGTGACCTCCCTCAATTCAGATGTGGACCTGATTTCCCGTGCGCCCCCCCTTCCACCCCCCCACTTCAGGACACATTGCAATTTTTGTATGTAGGTTGAAAGTGGACTGACCTGCTTGTGAAAAGAGCTGGTGCCGATAGAGAGAGAGTTGCTGATACTTCAAGTTGACTTAACCACAAGCTCTGCGGTTAGTCAGCTCAGGAGCATCATAGTGTGGTGAATATATTTAGATGTTAAATGTGGCTGTAATAACACTCTGTTCTGCAAATAGTCATTTGTCATGAAGATGATTGTCTTACACCTCCTCCTTCCTTTTCTCACCCACTGTTTAAATCACCCGAGATGAGAAAGAATCTCAAGGAAGCTGCTGCGAACAGAGTGGTGTGTAGCTTGTATTTAGTGCTCAGAAGTGGCGTGCTGGCTTTGGAGCATGGCAAGAAAGGGTAAGAAGGCTATCGCTGTCCTGTTGCTCTGGAGCTGTGGCATCTCCATGTCTTTGAGAGAGCTCCTGTAGGGAGGGAAAGCAGAGTTAATTCCTGCATCTCATTCCTTCCTTAGCCTTCATTAGACTGCTGAGCATTATCCATGATTAATGTTTATTGTTGCTGTGGCTCTTGCTGGACTGGAACTACTAAATTAAATTAACATGTTTGATTACCTATTTATGTTATTTTTCGCTGATGCTCATCAGCTTGTTATCCGACACCATTAATGAATATCGCACCCCCAGAGAATACCACTTTGGGGTACTGTTGATCTGAGCCAAAGGTGGCAGGTTCTAAACTATTTTCCATCCGGGATGCACACTGTTTCTCCCGATGTCCAGGTGAAAATTTATTGGCACTGGAAATCCCTACCCTGTTTAGTGTGTGCTGGTAGTGCTGAAATGCTGTGTCCAAGTCGCGGAGAAACATTCCTAGAAA